CTGATGGAAATTGGGATTTATTTTCTTTTTTACCTACTTTACTGTAGAAGGCAATTTTGGGGCAAAAAGAAAAATAAGGTGAACTGGGCGCTTCCCAGTTGCTTTTAATGGTCAGACTGGTCAACTTAGGTGCCAAGAATGCAAAATCTGGGCACGTATTTTGAAAGGTGTCTTGGTGCTGCTTAGAAGAACACCAAGATCTTCTGCTGGGTTCAGAGATGGAGAATCCCAGGAGGGTGATTCCAAGGGGAAAATAAAATATATATATATATATATATATATATATAAATATAAATAAATAAATTAGATTTCATTGTAATAAAGAACAAATGGGGGTGACAGCACCTGGGCTAATTGTGGGAAGGAGCAATTAGAGCCCTGCAGGTTTATGAAACCCCTTTTGATTCCTATTTTTTGGGTGAGGGAAGAACAAAAAAATAACAAAAAAAGAAAAAGCAAAGCTGGTTTGACCTTTGCTGGACCCGCTCGTTTGGGATCTTGACCCAAAAATTGGGAAGAGAAATCAGCCTTGGTGGTTCTGTCCAGGGCAAGGCTGTGGTTGGGGTGTGACATGGAAGGTTTTCTCCTGCTCTTGGGGTTCCTTGAAATGAATAAACAATCTCTTTTCTCCCCCCCCAACCCATGGCCTGTAATTCAGAGGAATTTAGTGTGTGTTAATTCCCTCTGATGGGGAAAACACCAGGAAAAACCTTCCTGGTCTCCTTGGAGTTCACCTGGGGCTGCCAATGTTCCTGCAGCCTCCGCTGCCGTGGTCGGGGTGTTGGGAAGTTCTTCCCAGGTTTTCTGTTCTTCCCGGTTCTCCGTTGTCTTCCTGCTGCTCCTCCCTTGGCAGAGTGGGAAGCACAGAGCTCCTGGCTTGCTGGTTTGTCACCAGGCCCAGGGGGACGTTGCAGAGGGCAGGACAACAGAGAACCAGGTCCAGAAAGTCTTGGTCTGTGGAAGGGGGGAGAGCATCATCCATGGAAAGGGGGAGAACATTCCCCATGGAAAGGGGGAGAGTGTTCCCCATGGCAAGGGGGAGAGTGTCTCCCATGGAAAGGGGGAGAACATTCCCCATGGAAAGGGGGAGAACATCCTCCATGGAAAGGGGGAGAGTGTTCCCCATGGCAAGGGGGAGAACATTCCCCATGGCAAGGGGGAGAACATTCCCCATGGAAAGGGGGAGAACATCCTCCATGGAAAGGGGGAGAGTGTCCCCTATGGAAAGGGGGAGAACATTCCCCATGGAAAGGGGGAGAACATCCCCCATGGCAAGGGGGAGAGTGTCCCCCATGGAAGGTGGGGAGCATCCTTCAGGGATGCTCGTACCCCGAGTGCTTTCTAGGATGAAGTTGGGCACTTTTTGGCTTTGGTGGCAGCAGGAGGTCCCCACATGGAGCTCTCTCCTCCTTCACCCTCCAAGGCAGGCTGAGCCAGGAGGAGAAGGGTTGTGCTGGCACCCACTAGGCTGAGGGGCTGGGACGTGTCTCTGGGCCTTCCCCAGCACTGAGTGGTGGCCCCAAAGTCCTTACCCAGGGAGGAGAGACTTTTATTCCTGGGTGGGCACTGGTGAGCTGCCATGTGCCACCCACCATTGGCTGGTGTCTTTGGTTTTTTTGGGGGGGGAAGTGCCTTTCATCCAATGGGGGCTGGAAACGACGCTGTGTGATCATCTCTTGGTGTTCCTCAGTGACCAATCATGGTCTGTGCAGGGCCATGGGAGCACCACCATAGGCTGATGGGTGATGGTGTCACTTGCTTGGGTATAACAAAGGCACCTCAGGAAATGGGGGGGGGAGGAGGGGGGGGATGCAAACTGGGATGAGGGTGAAGCTTGGTGGGGAATGGAGCCACCTGGAATGCATGGAGCCTGTGTGATGGGCAGGAGGTACCCGTGCTGGTTGGTGATGCAGGGGATATGTTCAAAGCTCAGTCTGGCTCTCCAGAGCTTGTGCACCTCAAAAAAATGGTTGTGACCCCCCCTTTTCTGCTCGGGGACACCCCACAGGGCTAAAGCATCTCCAGGTCTTCACCCATCTCTTTGTACTCCCAGCGGCGTGAACGGGAACCAGTTCCTCCCCACCTGAGTGGAGGCTGACCCTGGGGCTGGGTCCCTCGGGGCTCCGGGTGCTGTTGGACCTGGTCACTCTCCTCCAAGTCCCAATTTTTGTTTCTTTCTTTCTCTTTAATCCAGATTTTCCTGGGGTGGGGTCGTGGCTCCGAGCGGCGGAGCCGCGAGTTCCCCCGGAGCCCTTTGGGTTGGAATAGTCTCCCAAAGAGCTGATGTAGGGCTTATTTTTTATTTCCCCCCTCCTTTTTCTCCCTGCTGGAACACACCAGCACCAGGAAAACCTGGTGTGACATTGATCCAAATTGCAGTTTACATGTGGCCATTTAAGCTTCCTTGGACACTCTGATGTGACTGGTTAACACTCAGCACTGTCTGCTCCCCTCTCCCTCCCGCAGCCGTAACTGCTGGGGACGTGGAGAGGAGATTCACCTCCCAACATCCTTTTCCAAGCTCAGGATCAGTGTGTTTGGAGCAAAAGAATCACCCCAAAATAAGGAGCAAACCCCCAAAATAAGGAGCAAAACCCAAAAACAAGGAGCAAAACCCAAAAACAAGGAGCAAAAAAGCAACGCGAATTTTTCCTACCGAGAAGAACCAACCAACCCAGTGATTGGAAATGATGAATTTCATTCCATGTATCGTTTCCATCTGGGAAAGATCTTGTGACTGGGTCACCTTTGGGTCCCACCTTTAATATTTAAGCCTAGGGTGCAGAAATGCAGCAGGTCAGGTTGGTTTGGAGCCCAAAAACCCTTCGTACCTTCCTCATCCTACGAGCGACGGGCTGGTCGGGGACACTGGAAACACCCAGAAATTCTCCTGCTGCTGGAGATGAACTTTTTTCTTTGCAGAGGATAAAACATTTGATTTTTCTTATTCTTTTTCAGTCTATAATATTCACAATTTCTCAGCCCTCAGACTGTGGGGGGGGGGAAAAAAAAGGTTAAAAAAATAATAACAAGGGGATTTTTTTTCTTTTGCATCTGAGGAAAATTGACATTTCCCAGACTGAGGGAATTATTTTCTGGTCTTTGACGGTATGAAATGGAAAACAAAAGGAGGCCCTGATGGCTTAAGCCACCTTGAGGTCTCCTCAGGGTGGGAATGATCCCTTTTCCTCCCTAAAATGTCCCTCCTGCCACGGCCCCGTGTGCGGTGGGTCGGGCAGGTGTGGAATGACCCCAAGGAAATCATCTAGATAAGATATGAGATGTATGTGTGAACACCCAGAGATTTTTGGAGCATGTATCTTTATATTTCTGGAATATATCTCTCTATATTTTTAGAAGATGTCTCTCTCTTTTGGGAATACACACCTATTTTCCCACCTCCCGACGATCTGCACGGGAGACGCGCGGGCTGGCGGGGGGGTCCTCACTCCCAACACCCCCCCCTAGAAATTTTTGGGGTGAGCTGAGGTCCAGGCCACCCTGCCTGGCTTTAGGGGTGCTCCCTGTGCCCAGAGCAAGGGGATATCTTCCTGCCATCCCGACTTCCAGGGGTCAAATATCCTTCTTGCAGCTTCCAGCGGGGAGCTGGGCTTTGTGAGGAGACCAGAGTCTTTCCTCTCCAAACAATCCAGGTTCCCAAAGCCTGGAATGTCTTCCAGGGAAGGGATTTTTGGTGTGTTTTTTATGATGTCAGGATTAGGAGAGAAGCTGAACTGGCTCTAGAAGCTGTTGAGGAACCAGTTCAGGCCCTGCTTGAATTTCAGGCTCTGGGAGGGGATGCGGGAACCGGCCGTAATTCATCCCCTGGGCCCCCCCCAGTTTCAGCCCCCCGAGGGGTGCAGGCAGCTGCCCCTTCCCTCTGCCCCCCACCCTTGTCCCTCTGCAGATGTGGGTCAGGTTTTCAGGTGGTTTGGAACACCCTGTGGTGGTTTTTGGGTGCCCAATGCCAACATCCCTGTGGCAGGAGGAAAAGGGGATTTTTTGAATCCCCCCCCTGCCCTTATCCCTCGATGTGACAAGGGAAGGAGCTGGTGACAAGGGAAGGAAGGAGCTGGTGACAAGGGAAGGAAGGAGCTGGTGACAAGGGAAGGAAGGAGCTGGTGACAAGGGAAGGAAGGAGCTGGTGACAAGGGAAGGAAGGAGCTGGTGACAAGGGAAGGAAGGAGCTGGTGACAAGGGAAGGAAGGAGCTGGTGACAAGGGAAGGAAGGAGCTGGTGACAAGGGAAGGAGCTGGTGACAAGGGAAGGGAGCTGGGATCTGGCCCCGGGCAGAGCTGTGGATTATTTTGAAGGAAAAGAACCTGGAAGTTCTGGCTGAGGAGCCCCACAGTGAGGGACCCACCAAATCCCAGGGCTTGGATGCAGCCTGAGAGTGTCCTTATATCCCAAAGTGATCCAGGCTAAGAGAGAGGGCTGGGATCAGTGCTCCTGGTTGGATCCATCTCTGGTGATCAGTGGGTCACGGATCCTGGTAGAACTCCAGGATTTATCCCTCTCCAACCAAGCCCAAGCTTGGACCTGGCATCTGTAAGTGTCAAGCTAAGCTGTGTAATCCCCACCCAGCACTGAGGCCTGAGCTGCAGCTTTGACAGCCCAGACTAGGTGTAAAAATCATTGTAATTCTACTTCCAGGGCTTTTAGGGTTGTGGGAGCAGGGACAAAGTGCCAGGACATGGGGGGGAGGTGGAGAGAGCACCCACATGGGATGCACCCAGCAGGTTTCACTGCTTGGCTTTCAGGGGTTGGATTTGGAGGACATGAGATGGATCTGGGACAGGGAGAAAATGCAGCCCTTGGAGGAAAAGAATCCCCAAACCAGATTAATAAGTGGTGGGAATGGAAAATAGTGGGTATTCCTTGCTTTGGTTGGGCCCCAAGTCTGGCTGATCCTGTGGCTTTGGGTTGCTTGGGTCAGTGTGACTGAACCAGGTTTAATTGGACCTTCAGAAGCTCCTGCCTCCTGGAAGCTCAAAATTTCTCCCTTTAGAGGGAAAAAACAAAGCAAAAAAAGAAGTCTCCTTGACCTGTGTGTGAGCTACAGGAAGGGAAAGGGTTTGGTGGGGTTTTTTTTTTTAGTAAATCCCTATTATTTTAGGTAAGAGTGAAATCCTCAGCTTGGATGGTTTTTCATAGGAGTGGATTGTTGGGGTTTTTTTTAAGGATTCCTGGGCTGAGCATCTGGGCCAAAGAACCTTTCTCTGGCACCAGCAGGCACCAGCTGCTTGGGAGGAAAGTGCTTGAAACCCTACAATTATGGGATAATATATTCCAAGAGAGTTTCTTGGCTTTCTGTCCCTGAGCTGGAGAGTTTCTCTCCCTCCCCTGATCCTTGGAAAACGTCGTTGAACTTGGATGTTCTTGTCAGCTGCTCCTTTGATGGTGCTGGGATTGGGACCCTCCCTCACTGGTGATGATCCACAGGGGGCTGGGAAATTAAAATAAATTAAAAAAACACCTAAATTTTCTAATATTTGCTTTGAATTTGCCTCTGTGCTCCCTGTTTGGGGAGAGGAATCGTGGCTTGGGCAAGGGCTGAAGCGCTCGGGCCCCCGCAGCATCACTGGAAAAGCTTTGGGAAATCAGGAATCTGGTTTGGATTGTTGAAGGGAATCAGGCCCGTCAATAATTTGGAATTTTGGGTTGTCCTGCAAGGTGCTGTTGGTATCCAGAGGACTTTTTTACCCGCAGGGTTTGACCCTTAGGGTGCTCCCTGGGATGGGGACCACGGAGGATGATGAGTGGCCACTGATCCACCTTGTGATTTTTGCCAACAAACCCCATTCCCTGGAGGATTTTCTCTCTTCCTTTTGATTTTGGCTTTGAACAAACCTCCCCCCCCACTCCCCCCCTTTTATTTGATTCATTTTAATTTGTAGGGGTTTTTTAATTTAAAAATGAAGTCTTTTTTTTAATCTTACCCTCCCATCTCCAGG